TCCTCATCTCTCTCACTTTCCTGGTAAAGTTTGTAAGGATGGGCATGAGTGGACCTTGCTTACAATAGTATGGCTACCAATGAGAGTCGAAATGGGAGATGTTTTCCTCTGAAAATAAAAAATTACATAAATTTTGGATGTTACATATTCAGTCAGCCAGCTGTTGCACTAGCTGTGTCTCCTAGATAATGGGCTCACTCCCACTGTGCAGGCTTGAGGCTGAGGGCGTTACTGCAGTGCTATGGGGCTGTAAGGGGCTGTGGCTGCGGAGACCAGCCATCCCTGACAGGACAGGGATCAGGCCAGTATGACACTTTGAGATAAGGAAGCAAACCTTGATAGACTCTGTATTTGGCACCTGGACAACTGAAGGGGACAGAAGACCTGGGACACTGAGAGGACGTGGTTGTCCTCCAGGTCTTCAGTGCTGGGAACTCTGCAATAGTTTTCTTAATGTCAGCAATGCCATATGAAAATACACAGAATTACAATAACCATCCCTGCAGATGGTAAATATGTGGCTTTCCACAGATAAGTCCAAATCCAGTAAAAATTACACAATCTTGTTAGTCACTAAGAAAAACAGAGACATTACGAGATCCAGAAGCAAAGAATCCAGATGCACCCACCAATGTGCAATAGGTTAATGTTCTGACAGGGATACTAGGGAAGGAGAGGCTTGAACAATTTGCAGTTGGGCTAAATGTTGTGATTGTATCTGTGAGTGATACAGAATGACTACCTGTGACAATAGGGAATGAAATTTCACCATCCTTTAGGTAACATTCCCTACTGTGAATTTTGAGATTTTTATGAAGGGCTCCTTTTTCTCCTCTTTGAAGACTGTGGGATCAGACTAAGGATGGTTTATCTGGGGCCCACATGGGATATCTGATATACTACTAGAGGTGCTGCAGTGTTGAACAGTTGTTGCGCAGCCAGGGTCAAAGAGTAGGGGAAATACTGACTATAAAAGTCAGCTGCAGAATGAGGGGAAGGTCTAGAATGCTAATCCTGTCTATCCTTAAGACGATTCCTTTCACACAACCAGCCCAAAATTTCTGAAAAGAATTTATTTCAAAATACAGTTGACCGATCCTATAGGAAGAAGAATGTATTTAGGGGAGAAGTGCTTACAAGCAGATCCTTGTGGTGCATTCCTTTCAATCTTACTGGGCAGTTTGCCTCTGTTTACACTGGTTAACATTTAAAACTATCTTTACAAAGAAAAGCAAAAGCTCAAAAGATTTTTTCTAAAGGGAAAGTTGAGATTGTCCTTTAACATGTACCAAGCCACATTCCATTGAAAACGGCAAGATGCAGGCTTGGAATTACTCCTGCTCTGATCTCATCCTGCTCACTCTCTAAAAAGCATTCACGGAAAATATACACACCTAAAAGATACATAAAAACAGCTTTCCTCCACTCTATCTCCCCACCTTATACACATACCTTTTCAATTTGTGTATCTTGAAATACTAATGCAGCAAATATGATCTGAATCTCATTTACATCAGTGGAAATGGGGAGTCATTTCTTTAAAAGGAAGGTACTTAAAGCACAGCAAGAGCAGCATGAGGCCAGAAGTAAGAGCTCATCACATAATTTCTCCTTACATCACAGCCTTGTGAAGCTCTACTCCCTTCCCTTGCATCTGTGAAATCAGCAGGTCTACTCCAGGGAGTAAGGATTGCCATCTTAGGCCCTTAAATCAGCCTCTCTGTGTTTGAAGAACAAGAGAGAGTCTGTGTTTTCAGGCACCGTATGTAACTGTAGAAGAACTTGCTCAAGAAAGGGAAATAAAAAGAGAATAAAAATGTTCGCATTCTCTCTGAACAAAATGAGCTGTGATCTGCAATTGCCCTTTTAAGAGTTGTGACTTTTTCTTGTTCTCCAGAAAACTTCTGGCAGCAGCAGTTGGGCTGCAGCCCCTGCGCCTCTCACCCCAGCACAGAACATGTCAGGGAAGGCAGGCAACATACGGCTTTAATTTGCAAGGGATCATCTACATTTCTTCTGAACAGAAAAGAAAACCAAATCAAATCTCCACATACTCCATCTATCTTGAATAAACAGCATTAAGCAAAAAATGCTGTGAGTATTGGGAGGAAGAGACTCTTTGTAGTTTGCTTTGACTGCACATAATGCTTCTCCTCATGCCTCTTTAAAACATATAAAATCACTGTAATGGGGGGTGACTTACACCAGTGCCAGTCAAAAGTTGCCCTTCATTCCTAGCCCATGCTACCCGGTAAAACATTTGCCTTACAATAGGTATCACTCAGCAGAAATAAATTACCACTGACTTCAGCGGCTAGAGATGCATTTCTATTCTATTTCTCTTATTCCCACAACCCCCAAATACAAATAAAAGTACAGTTTTTAACCTAAATTGACAATTGCAAACTAATATAACGAATTAATAAAAGACTTATATAAAGGCGCCTGGGATGAATTTGAGGGTAAGGTGACCTGGGCCACCCAATGGTAAGAGAATTACTCGGTACCTCGTCAAATGCTTGTTTATAACAACTGCCTCTGCACTGAGATGACTTTCTAAACACTTGGTTGTACTGCCTTGAGACCCTTCGCTGCAGAAAGTATTCTGGCTGCTGACTGCACCACCACCTATAGTTCATGTTCAGCTCCTACTGATTTTCTTTGCCAATCACTGCATGCATTTGTTATTTGTGTCAGCACAGGCATACTTCCAAGAGTCTTCTAGATGTTCCAAGAAACAGTCAATGTCCAAGGTACGCTTTTAAATTTTAAGGATTTTGTTCTTCTGTCAAGACTAGATCTGTGAGATGCTATGGCCTGTGGCCCTGGGGCAGATGGCTGTGTCATTGGCATGCTGCACACTGAAAAATATCTTATCATGCAACTGTAAAAGTTACATGGGAGTCTTGCCCAGGTACTTCTCCAGAATTTTGTTTTGTAGACCTCTGTGTCTCAACTTCTTGTGTAGACCTCTCTCTCAACTTCTAGGGTCAAACAGCTTAGTTTAAGGAGTGTGTATTATCTGCATTAACGATTTTATCACCAGAAATATATGGTAGTTTTAATATGGCAATGTAAGGGTGCACCTCATTTCATCTTACAATTTGAGATTATGGAAGTTTGAGCCACATTAGAAATCCAAAAAAAAAATCCAATTTCCAGGCTTCCCCTACCCCTTTTCACAATTTATCCTAACACCGGAGAGAAACTTTCAGACCAGAGGCTTCTGTAGGGGAAGGGGGAAGTATATACATTTATTTACACAAATAAATGTACTGTACAAACTAAAAACAGCTATACATATATATATTACATTTCTGTCTGTCAGTCCTTTCAAGCCCCCCCTTTTAACTTTAGTCCAGGAGCAGCCTTCCAAGGTTGATATGTAACACAGTCTCTGTCTCTCATGGGAGTGTTCTGGGCTCCTGAACACTCCCTAACTAACCTTCAGCTGTTTGCCGAAGTCCTTTCTCCTTACGAAGTCCAAGAAAGTAGCTTTGAGTCCTTTCTCTTCTGCTGCTGTGTGATTTCTCCTTCTCAGTGTCATACCTCGGTTTGTAGGCTGCTGCAGTGTAGTTCAGCTTATCAAGCATCTGTGTCCTGGAATGTTGATTCCTCCTTCAGGTTTTCGGTTGTCCTCCGTTTAAATCACTGCAAGGACATCCTCCGGGCCCCTCTCTCTCTCTCTCTGGGGTCCGTCTCCAATTCTTGCCTGGGATCCTTCTCCCTAGCAATCGAGCCTCCTCTGGCCCGTCCACTTGGCTCTGCTCCAATGCTGAGCCTCACATCCACTCTCACTGAACAGCGAGAGGGAAAAACAGCCCTCCTCTGCAGCTTGGCTGCAAAGGTGGGGGGGAAGAAGAAGAGGGCCTGGCTGCAGGGCCTGTCTCTCTCTCTCTCTCCCACTTACCAGTTGTTTGTGAGTCGCATCCCTCACAAACATGCACTCATTCCAGTGCTGTCTCTAACTCTGGCCTAGGCAGAGTTAGGGGGGCCGCAGGGCTCCCCTCTTCCCCCCGGAGGGGGAGAGAGGGAGCCCAGTGGCCCCTTGGCCTTCTCCACCTACACGCAGCAGACACCAACAGCAAAACAACCAAGACAGAACTGCCAACAGCTTCCGGTGCTGTGATATATGATTTTGAGCAGAAGCGAACAACATGGGTGGTGAGTGGCTCTCCAGGGAACACTGCCCTGGTACCCAGTCACCTCTGAGCCCCTCGAACTCTCAAGGGGGGGGCCAATTTCAAACCATGACAGATGTATGACACTGTAATCATCTCTCCTTCATTTCACTGCATTTACAATCTTGGTACTGATTCTTCAGCAAGTATCCCTGGTTGTGCATCATGAGGACTTGATGTGTACTCCCAGTACTCAGATGGAAATGAGACCCACCTGAGCTGTGGACATGTACTGCCTCATTTGGAAACTCCAAGAGACTTCATGAATTTAGTATAGACATTGCTGTTGCCCATCATACATTACATATTTTAATCCCTCTCTCTACTCAGATCTCAAAAATCCTTTCTTTCCATCCAGAACTAATGCCCCTGCACCCAAAAGCATTAACTTTTCTAATCAGCCAAGATTCATGTTCAGTATGAGACAAAAAACAACTTTTAACTTGTCCCACTTTTGACGCCTTATTTGACATTTAAATAATAAAACTTTGAATTAACTGTTAATTATTTGAGCATAACTTTTGCTTTAAATTGGTGGATAAATACACATGTATGTTATTATCTGTGTTTATGTTTTATTCATTTGAGTGCTCACTAGCCTTACTCCATATACATTTTTGCTTATATGCTGTGGAGGGTAAGCACTTACTCTATCCTATTTCTGCCAGTCACATAGAGGAAAACAAGAAAATACTGCAATGACTTTTTGCTTTGTCTCTTTCCAAAAGTAAAGATTTACATACTGTCTTTTTTTTTTTTTTCCAGACAAGATTTGTGTCCCCATTTTAGCCTGGAGAAGAGGAGGCTCAGAGGTGACCTCATCACCGTCTATAACTACCTGAAGGGAAGTTCTAGCCAGGTGGGGGTTGGTCTCTTCTCTCAGGCACTCAGCAATAGGACAAGGGGGCACGGGCTTAAGCTCCGCCAGGGGAAATTTAAGTTGGATATCAGGAGAAAATTCTTTACAGAGAGAGTAATCAGGCATTGGAATTGGCTGCCCAGAGAGGTGGTGGATTCACCGTCCCTGGAGATTTTTAAACGCAGATTGGACGTGGCACTGAGTGCCATGATCTAGTAAATGGACTGGATTTGGACCAAGGGTTGGACTCGATGATCTCTGAGGTGTTTTCCAACCCAATCGATTCTATGATTCTATGATTCTATGATCTCCCATAACAAGACCAGCATAAACCAGCACTCTATTAGTGGTACATAAAGAATGTAAGAGGACAAATCTCAGTACTTTGCCTATCTGCCACAGTCCTAATTTCCCGTAATGGCTACTGTACCAAATAACATTAGCACATTGTTTTGAAGTAAAAGCTGAAATTCTTTTTAGTTATGACTTAACACCCAAATTTTTGTTTCTTTTAGAATGGAAGATTGTTTTTCCATGGCAAGGGGGAAGAGTGCCTGTGCTCTCTTTGTCATATTGACCCAAGCAATGGTGGTATCCAGTCCAGGTTTCTCTTTAATTGTCACCCATGGTGGATACCTAAGGAATCATTAAAAGAACAAGGCAGAGGCACAGCAATAGTCTCCTGTGGATGTGATATGCAGTACTGGAGCTGCCTGAAGAAGCAGTATATGTTGTTAGACAAAGACATACAGGTGGCAAAATGGGACAGACTTTTGGTCGCACAAACTTTTCTTTGGGTTAGAATCATCTTTCAGTTAAGAAAAATTGTTTACCATTTGCTAAGATACTCCTTAATTAAACCAGCTCTGAAAGGAAGAAGACAGTAGCTTTAGAATAGAGAAGACATTAATGACATTAAGGATGGGAGAAAGACTGGCATTTATGAGCTAAGTAAAAAGGAGAGACAATTACCTTACAATCGGTTGATTTGGAGAGAGGTAAGCAGAAGAGGTGGTGGTGTGTGGAAGCAGAAATAAATTACAATGTACTAGCAGACCAGCATCTCTGTTAAGTCCCCAGTTTTGGGTGTTGAGCAGAGTTAGGAAACCTAATTCCCATGTGCACTTCTGTCGGACAAGATCTGTAGTTTTCCTTAAGGATCAGGTCTGAAAGAGGAGAGGGAGAATGTCCTGTTTTGTGAGAAACATTCCCTCACCAACAGAGGTGTGTTTGGTCTCTAGAGATGGTTTGTGGGAGTTCCTGCTGGAGCTCAGTGGTCATTTTCAGCAGCAAAACTACAAAGAATACAGCCGTGCACAGGATGAAGTGTGTTGCAACCCTGGAACATCAAATGTAAGATCAGAGTATGCTGGTGATTTGATGGCAGGGAAAGTTCATTGCTGTAGTAGTGGACGGGCATCAACACATCTTAGATTTCTTGCTCAGGCACAGTTTAAACTTATCTGGTTTTGGACCACAGAGGATTAAGCTCTAATGATGAGGTTTGTGGTTTGGGGTGTTTGAAATGTAGGACAAGTGCTTCTGGGAAGATTCTTTTCCACACAGGATTTTCTTCTGTTATGTGAAAAATCATTAAACAGTTAAAACCAGCAAGTCCTAGGAACTTTTCTGAACTTACCAGCTCCCAGCCCTCCCACAACGCCTCCTCCATTCTCATTTCCACTTTTTCTTACCGAGCTGGTCTTACTGATACATCTGAACTTGCAGCAGTTCTGAAGTTGCATTTAGCTTTTAGATAATTACTGCATTTAGAGAGTTACTGCTTCAGAACCAAAAATATAGCTTGTTATTCTAAAAATGTGTCTGCTTTTCCTTCTATACCAACTGGTCTGAAAAAAATCCGTTACCTACATGTACAAACCTCTTAATTACCTTTCCTGGATTGCATGATGCATCCCCAGGTCTGAAGAGGACAAGTAGAAAGCCAAGGAGGCTTCCCAAAACTAGTCAGAAATTCATACTAATTTTCTGTGAGAAAGAGCATATATACTTGTTCCTACCTAAAGATCCAGTGTTCAATCGTTTTAGGATGAACAGGGAAACCATACTGCCATTTAGGGCTGGATATAAATTAGGTTTTGTGCTAGAAAAGAGTTACTAATTTTAATTACTGAATGTAGATCTGAAGAGAAAAATCTGTAGCTTAAAACTATAAATGCAATATTCAAGGAATCGAACTTTTTTCAGCAGAAGATGGAAAAAGATATTTGTGTGTATCATTTTTGAACTACGGTTCTCTGAGAAAAGAGTTTTTGACAGAACTCAATGAACCTTAGTAAACAAGGACATCAGCAATCAACATATTTAAGGATGTGCAATTTCTAAACATGATCCCACTCCTGCAGTCGTTACACAGCATAGATTTTGCTATTAATTAGTTTGAATGTGGGACAGTACTACAGGGAGAAAGAAAGTGGCCTAAATAGCATGGTCCAAATTTTATGTGTAGCTATCCAAGAAATACGGATGTCTTCTATTAACCCTTGCCACCTGTGACAGCTAGAAATAACTGCTGGACATGTCTTACTCCTAATGGATTTTTGCAGCTCATTAGTATGTAAGGGGGAAAGGGTGAGAGCATGCTACAGAGAAGGAAGACAGCTGGCCAGAGAAGTTCCATGCCTGGTTCAGCGCTGAATGGCAAAATTAACCTTCTGACAAATACAAGGACATTCATATATATGATGCAGAGGCTTGGTTACTGAATGGAGAACGGGGTAGGGTTCTTCTCCTCTCCAGGAGCATAGTTTATTACTCTTATTCAATTACAGAAAGTACAGTAAATCCCCCATTCAGCCTCCATCATTTCTCTAGACTGTGCTTTTCAGCAGCGCAAACAGGACCTCCATTCTGTTTGTGCAAAGGGGCTTCGGACATGCAGAAATGGACACTGTTGGTGGGCATGCTATGCCTAATTCACCCCCTCCCCAGAATACAGCAAAATTTTCAAAAGCCTGACGGGAGGTATTGCAAGTCACGGAGCATTCATCTTGAATTACTCTGGAATAGCTGACCACTAGGCAGAGGGAGAAAGGGGAATGGGAAAGTCCTGCTGGGATTATTTTCGTATCTCAGGCTGCTGCTGTGGACACGACGGAAGGTGCAGATAACCCACTGGCAAAAGCTCGGTAACGAGATACTTAAAGTGTCTCTGAGGGGAGGCGAGTTTTGGCCACTCGCACATCGCGGTCTGTGCCCGCATGCTGCCGCCGCTCCTGCCCGCATCCCAAGTGACCGCAATAAACCCGTCTCCCCCATTTCAGCCCTGCACAGATGCCCACTGCTCCCTGCTCACTGGTCCCCGGAGCAGAGCCCTGACAGCGGTGCGGCCTCCCCCTACCAACCCTGCCCTTCGCTGTGTGCCAAACATAGATCCTCCCGCCGGCATTAGCCCGCCTGACCTCCGGGGAGGTGCCGGGACCCGGCCCCATCGGGGTGCGCCGCTCAACGGCCTCAACAATCGTCACCACCGGGGCACCCAAAAACACTCCCAGGACAGCCGGGACCGACACGGCACGGCCTCGGGCCCCCGCTCTCCCCCCGCGGCGGGGCCCCTTCCCCCGCGCCGCCCCCGCCGCCTTTGTGCGCGGCGCGGGGCAGCCCCACGCCCGCCTGCGCCCGCCCCCGGGTGAGGCGTTGGGAGACGGTCCCTTACGCAGGAAAGTTCGGCGTCGGTTTCAAGGCTCCTCCCTCCGGTGAAGGCAGACTGCGGGGCGCCTGGAAACCGGTCGGAGGGAGCGCGGCGCGGCGAGGCGAGGGGCGCGGGCTCGAGGGGCCGGCACAAATGGTCAGGCGGCGGCGGCGGCGGCGGAGGCGGTGGCGGTAGTCGGAGGCGCGGCGGTCGCTGCCGCCGGTGCGGGGAGAGCTGCGCGCTGCGCGCCGCGGCCGCGCGAGTGGCGACCGGGGCTGCCCCGTCCCTGCTCGCCGCTCCCTTCATGAGTCGCAAGTTCGGGCCGGGAGGAGCAGCGGCGGCGGCGGCGGCGGCGGGGCGGCGAAAGCCCAGCAGGGCAGGCGGCACCGACTGAGCATGGCCGAGCGGCGCGGGCCGGCGGTGAGCGGCGGCGGGGAAGTTGGCGGCGGCCGGTGCCCGCGGCTGCCTCTGCTGCTGGTGTTACTCTGGGCGGCGGTGCTGCCGGCCGGGGGGCAGTCCAACGGCGAGCGGGGCATCTCCATCCCGGACCACGGCTACTGCCAGCCCATCTCCATCCCGCTCTGCACTGACATCGCCTACAACCAGACCATCATGCCCAACCTGCTGGGCCACACCAACCAGGAGGACGCGGGGCTGGAGGTGCACCAGTTTTACCCGCTGGTGAAGGTGCAGTGCTCGGCCGAGCTCAAGTTCTTCCTCTGCTCCATGTACGCGCCGGTGTGCACCGTGCTGGAGCAGGCCCTGCCGCCCTGCCGCTCCCTCTGCGAGCGGGCCCGCCAGGGCTGCGAGGCCCTCATGAACAAGTTCGGCTTCCAGTGGCCCGACACGCTGCGCTGCGAAAAGTTCCCCGTGCACGGGGCCGGCGAGCTGTGCGTGGGGCAGAACGCCTCCGAGCGCGGCACCCCCACGCCCGCCCTGCGCCCCGAGAGCTGGACCAGCAACCCCCACCGCGGGGGCGCCGGCGGCGGCCCCGGGGGCCCGGGGCCCGGCGAGCCCCGTGGGCGCTTCACCTGCCCGCGGGCGCTGAAGGTGCCCTCCTACCTGAACTACCGCTTTCTGGGGGAGAAGGACTGCGGGGCGCCCTGCGAGCCCGGCCGCCTCTACGGGCTCATGTACTTCGGGCCCGAGGAGCTGCGCTTCTCCCGCACTTGGATCGGCATCTGGTCGGTGCTCTGCTGTGCCTCCACCCTCTTCACCGTCCTCACCTACCTGGTGGATATGAAGCGGTTCAGCTACCCTGAGCGGCCCATCATCTTCCTCTCGGGCTGCTACACGGCGGTGGCCGTGGCCTACATCGCCGGCTTCCTCCTGGAGGAGAGAGTGGTCTGCAACGAGCGCTTTGCCGAGGACGGCTCCCGCACCGTGGCACAGGGCACGAAGCGGGAGGGTTGCACCATCCTCTTCATGATGCTCTATTTCTTTGGCATGGCCAGCTCCATCTGGTGGGTCATCCTCTCCCTCACCTGGTTCCTTGCTGCCGGCATGAAGTGGGGCCACGAGGCCATTGAGGCCAACTCCCAGTACTTTCACCTGGCTGCTTGGGCTGTGCCGGCCATCAAGACCATCACCATCCTGGCCCTGGGACAAGTGGATGGGGACGTTCTCAGCGGTGTCTGCTTTGTGGGCATCAACAACGTGGATGCCCTGCGGGGCTTTGTGCTGGCCCCCTTGTTCGTCTACCTGTTCATCGGCACCTCTTTTCTGCTGGCTGGCTTTGTGTCCCTCTTCCGGATCCGGACCATCATGAAGCACGACGGCACCAAGACAGAAAAGTTGGAGAAGCTCATGGTGAGGATAGGCATCTTCAGCGTCCTCTACACGGTGCCGGCCACCATCGTCATTGCCTGCTATTTTTACGAGCAAGCTTTTAGGGAACAGTGGGAGAGGAGCTGGGTCACACAGAGCTGTAAGAGCTATGCCATTCCCTGCCCCAACAACCACAGCAGCCACCACCCGCCTATGAGCCCTGACTTTACTGTCTTCATGATCAAGTATCTCATGACCTTAATTGTGGGCATCACCTCGGGCTTCTGGATCTGGTCTGGGAAAACCCTGAACTCCTGGAGGAAGTTTTACACCAGGCTCACCAACAGCAAGCAGGGCGAGACCACTGTCTGAGACTCCTGCCTGCCGGACCAGGGGGATGTGGGTGGCCAAAGGACCGAGGCTCTGCCTCGGGAAGCAGCTCCTTACCCAGCCTGGGCAAACTTTGGGGACCGCAAGTGTCTTCCGCAGGCGACAGGGAGCGGAGGACGAGCCGGGGGGACTCTGGGGCCCGGGACCGCCCGGCTCTGCCCTCCCCGCGCTGCTCGCGTTGTCTCCTGTAGGAGCTGAAGGCATTGTCAGGTTGGGGGAGAGGGATGTAAATAGCCTCTGTAAGATTTTGTAAGTATATTTGTATTTAAATTGCAAAAAACCTCACTTTTTTAATTATTTAGGACACTTTTAACCCGTTTGCGGATTTTACTTCCTTGCCTCCCTCCCCCCCTTTTTTATTTAAAGAAAAAAAGGCTTTGGGTTTGTATTTCGTAGGGCAGAATGGGAAAAGCTGCCGGTAAGAGAAACGAAAAAAACCCCTTTCTTCTCCCCCACACAGGTTTTGTAATGGCTTTGCTTGGAATTTCGGCTGCATCAGCAGCAGGGCCCGGAGCGGGGTTGCGGCCGCGGCCGGGGTCGCCTTCTGACCCGGGCTGGCTCCCGATCCCGACTCCGAGGTGGGGATGGGCAGGAGCGCCGCTTTCCGCCCTGGCCCCGTGTGGGGGAGGACGGACCCCATCCCGTCCCCCTACGGGGAGGACGTGGAGCCGCCTGGCCATGGCGCAGGGACAGCGCTGCACCGGGCCCCGGCCCCGCTGACCCCGCCGGGCCCTTCTCGGGAGATGCGAACATCATCCAGCCCTGCCCGGAGCGCCGCCGGTCTGGGGCGGCTGCGGGGCCCCACACGGCTCGGGAGGAGTTGACCCCGTTCCCTGTAGGAGTTGGGGTTCAGCACCGCCTGCACCTGTAGCACGTCCGATGGCTCAGGAGGTGGCTGGGGACAGAAAGACACCGAAATTCCCTCCTGCTCTGGTATTTTTTAAGCCCACTTTGCAGTCCGGGGGCGCTCCGCGGGTGCTCCTGCCGCCGCCTGCCCCGGTCCCTCCCCGCCGGGCTGCGGCCGGCTGGGGTCAGCAGGATCAGGAAATGCGGGCTCAGTGAAAAGAGCTCCGTCGGAATAAAACGCAGCGTTCAGTTTGAGGCTTTTGTTGATACACCCTCCCCTCCCCCCCAATTATATTGATACACTTGCTCTTCATATGGGAAACATTGGAGCCGTTGCCATTCTTCTGAATTGTAATTCATTGAGATTTAATTCATTACACATTATGAGGGTGTGATGATTTTTGCCAGTAGTAAAAACGATGGAAGGGAAAGCAGAAAACCATAATGTTTAAGCACTCTGGTGAGATGTGAGACTTGAAAGAATCTCTGCTTTCTTTTCCCTGTCTTATTTTCGGTCCAGTAATAACATTGCATACTGCAAGGATAAGATACCATGTGTGCAGTATATCTACTACCTTGTATGCTCCTGGATGTGTGGGATTGTGCTTCTAATACATAAAAAAAGTTAAAGATTAAATTGTAACTTTCGACAGATGCATTTGAATATGTAGACCTCTGTATGAAAAACAGCAGAATGCTTCTCTCCTGATTGTATTGTTTTAAACTTTTTTTTAATATTACAAATGCCTGTATTTAGGTTCATAAACATTATCTATGGCTACCATACCCTGAAATGCAAAATTATTTTAATTTGGTATGCATTTATTTCTGTTCATTATCACAAGATCATCTATATTTATAGAGGAATAGAAATTTATATATATTAAATACCATATTTTTAATTTCTCTGAAATAAATTGAGGTTTTGTACAAAACTATCTTGTCCCTTTATGTATTCCTCTGATGAACTTAAATACTCTGTGAAAACAGTGTATATGCTACAAGATGTGTGGGATTCCTTTTTTCTTAGGTTGAGTTCACAGTAACAAGCTGGAATTCAGTGTAGGAATTCATTGTGCATCTTGTTTTTTATTTCTCGACCAGTCTAGATTAATCCTTCAAAAGAAGTAATGTAAACTGTTCAAAATCTCTGACAGGGTATGGTCGGTGGTGTGAAATCTAAGAAGAGATCTGCTATATGGCAGGAGAAGAAAGAAACTCACCAGTTCTTTTTTTTTTTGGTGTTTTTATTTTGGTTGTAGAAAAGGGTTCTCTCAACTTAGCCTTTCTTCTCCCTTTCCTACTAAAATACAAAAAAAGAGATATTTTCTTATAATGATATTCTGCTTAAAATGACACTCGGACTATGTTGCAATATTGTCAGAACATTTTAATGAGTAAAATAGTTTTGTTCTGCTGAATTTTGAATGTTTGGTTAATCCAGAGTTAAACAATAGTTTAACTGGACAGTTTAAATGGAAACATTTCAGATCTGTGGAAAGTACACACATTCTTTAATCTTTCAACACAACACATTCCTTTTTTTTTTCTTTTTCTGTAATTCATTTTTCAAAATGCCATTCTTTAAGTGTGGGTTTGTTAGGAAAGACTGAAAGACTGGTTAATTTTTAGTGTTACGAGCTAGTAAAGCATTTCATTATGTAGATCTGGAGGCAGATGTAAATGATTTTTGGCTTGTTTACTTTTTTCAAATCATGATGCATAAACAAACAGAGGGAACTAAGGGAAGCTTAGCAGAATTTCTCTAAGGTGAGGCAAGGGGGGGCAGGGTTTTGTCATTATTTTAAAATTTGTTTTACATAAACGTAGTTCCTGCTTTCTCAGATATTTGGACATTTTTCTCAAGTATTTTCCCCCCTTCTTTTTTTTTTGGGGGGGTGGATATTTTACCATTTAAAATTGTGCTAGTCATCACTCTGCTAATGACCTGAAGTACAAGCTATTCACTTTCAGTTGCAGTGGAATTCTTTTTTGTCAGTGTATAATTACATTTCAGCCGTTTTTACTAATCTGTTTTCTTGCAGCAGAATGTAGGTGATTTATTTATGCATGGGACAACACAGTTATTTGTAACAGGAGATCCTGTATTTATGGTAGGGATGGGAGAACCAACTTTTAAAAAATAATTCTCAAAAGCGAATAATGGAATTGTTTCTGCAAAAAGTAAAATGTCAGTATTTGCAGTTCATTATTTGCAGCACATATGGATCTCCTTCAGCTCTTTGGAATTTCTTTTTTTTCATAGACTGCAGAGGTGAAGCTCCATGTTCAGTCTTGGTTCTTTTAATAAATATACTAGAGAGCACAATATGATCATAAATCAGTTGAAAGAGCACCCCCTGCTTTTTCATTTGCTAATTTTTGTGACCCTTCACAGGGCTGTAATTTGCAAATGTCACAGTCATTACTGAGTGCTGTGGTGCTATCTGTATGACTCACCTACCTTTTTATGCTTTCATTTCTCAACGCATAATGGTATTTCAGATGCTTTATTAATATAATACAAAGGTGGGTTTTGCATGGGTATATATCAGTTATCAGTAATGTTTTACCTCACTGTTAAAAAGAAATCTATCCATTGCTCCAGGGAGTTCAGATAGGATTTTTTACAACATAGTCTGGGTAATTGATGTGCCATGTTTACCAGAGAAAGCATCACTGTATACAAAGAAGCAGTTTTGCCCACTTCTCCTGTCCCTGGCAAGAAGGTTAATATAAGAACAAAACTGGTATAACAAAGTTTGTTGGGCTGAAGTTCTAGTTAAGGCATTCTGTAGTCAGCAACTTTACTTTCTCTCATGGGATATATTTATAGACTGAAATGAAGGGGCACTCAGAATCACCATTCCCCCAAAGAGATCTGTAGCCTGAAGAGCTGGGGATGTTGATTTACTGTTCATCCTTCAGTAATAGTAATGCTCTTTAATGTAGTGGCAAATTTGTGGTATTGGAATGAAATTATATGCTGTTTCCATAACAAATCCTATTGGGAAGGAGAAGGATTTCTGGTTTGTTCACACAGTAGCGCCCAGAATTTCTGATAAATGTGTATACTTTTGCGTGTTGTGTTTAGTTTTGGTTTTGGTTTTGTTTTTTTTTAATAAGAGAGGCAAGGCTGCAATCTAGTTGGCCTGAATTCTGCCCTCTGGATGATGCCCGCAGTTCTGCTGCCATCCCATTGCTTATTGTTGGACACAAGTGCAATTACAGGTGGTGCTGAGGATCCCTTTCATTTAAAAGAACAATATTTGCACATTTTTAAAAATTATTATTCAAAGGGATGATAATTAGGCATGAGAAGAGACTGCTGTATATTTACAGGATGCGTATTTTTCAGAGTGGGCTTTGAACTACTGTCTCATCAGTCTTTTGCCAATCCCAGTCACAAGAGACAACTTTCAGACACGATGATCCTTTTGAAAGGGTGTGCGCCCTGTAGCTGACCAGAGAAAGTAATCATGGTTTGGCATGACTTGCATAGTTTAAAATTATTGAGGGTACTCTTGCAAAAAGTTTACATTTGTGTGACATGTCTCCTCCTCCGCAGTGCTGCATGGCCTCAGAAAGAGTTTCAGCAAGCAAACCTCAGGACAGCTGAAGTGGTGATAAGTAAGAGTTTAAATGCTGACCTATAAAAATAAGGAAACTGAGGTAAGGCTCTGTTTTCATCACAAATTTACCCTCTAGTGCTCAGGCACTGGAATTGCATTATATTTGACAGATCTTTCCAATGACAGCACTACAAGACTGGCAATACTGTGCAAAATCAGTTATGAATATCAACCCCTTCCCCCTTTTTATTTCTCCTAGGTTTTTATTAGTTGTTTACACTTACTGGACTCAGAGCATCATTGCTCTGCATGTTGTGCAAACTTGGAGTGAATGGATCATATGGATTCTGAATTCAAATATTTATTAAAAAATGCAAGTGCATTATATGCTTGGTCCCATTAGAAGAGCTGGTTGCTCTTATGTCCGTATCTATGAGAGTTTTTTGTATTTGTAAGTCTCTTGCCTCTATTGTTCATCAGTTGAGCTGGAAGGCTTAGGCAATGATTCACGCTCATTTGGAGAAGGAGAACTTTGTTTTTCTTGCTGTGGACTAATCCCCTTGCTGTTTCTGTGTTTGCAGCATACAAGTGTCACCAGAGAAACACTTTGTTCTGAAACTCCTGATCAATTTTGGAATAGCAATACCATAATTTATAAACAGGTTCAGGGATTTAGGAAGCTGAGGCTTTGGTTTTTACAGTTTATTTTTTAGAAGTCTACAAGAATTTTAAAATGTGAAACAGCTTCTTAAGGACAAACTAAGCATGTCAGGATTAGGTCCTGGATGCATTGCAAGCATTATGAGCCCCATATTCATTTGAGAGTAGCCCAGTGATGGTGTTAAAGCAGATAAGATAAGCCCTGTAAGAAAAAAAGAAAGGCATAATTGCATTTATTTGCCAACTGAAATTCACTCTGTGCCTTTTGTCATTTGAGGTCACTAAATGGAGAAACAAATATAATTTCTGTCATATGGGAGAAATTTCAGTGAATTAGCAAAATAGGCCTTAATAAGCAGTATGTAATTGCAAGTGCAATTACAAAGCAATACCACTTTGATAGTTCAGTTGTAGACAATGCTTTTCAAAAATTTAAATACTTTAAAACTTGCTGATTTTGTAGGCCATGGCAACTGTGTTTCAGATCCCAACTTGTGTTTAGTCTAAACTTCCAGTGTAACCACATCAGAGAGTCTTCCAGGCATGAGGTCTTGCCCTTGTTTGCATTCAAATCAGCAGCATTAAGTATTAAGCTTATCTTGAGGTTGAGTAAATAAACTTTAGTTTTCTACTCAGACAACACTTAATGAAGACCACATTCAGCCACCGACCTCTTGTGAAATGCTGCTGGCTTGAGACCCCAAAAGCCTTGCCTTTTGCCTGTATCCCAAGGCTTTGTTGCAGTGCGTGAAAGTATAGGACGTGATCGAACTTCACTAAGGTGAAAACTTCATAATAACCATTAAACTGATGTAACCATGCTGCATTGAGAGGCTTCTGTCAGCCACCATGTAAAGTATTTTTGATGGGTTATCTTCAAAATAATTTCTTCAGAAATACTGAAGTGACAGACTTTTATTTGCAATTAGCTGTCATTTGGACAGTTGCATTATTAACGGTCTGCAACATTTAAAAAGGGGTTATCCTAAGCTAACATATAATGCTACCCTATATCAATAGTGCAGCACACTAGGTGGAACTTGTCCACCTTATAGTATCACCAGGATCCCTTTGGGTGAGGAGAACAGTATTTTTGTCTAGTTCTAGTATAACTTGGCTATTATTAATTACTTGCCGCAACACAAATTTAGAAATAATTTATCATGGGGTAGTTGAAAAACAAAGATCACAAGAAAAATCAAAAAATTGCATATATCCCTCAGGTGGGATGTTGATGCTGTTTTGTTGCATATTTGTTTGTATAATACAGATCCTTTATAACTGCCAGTGCTAGTCTCACTGGCTGTGTTTATGTGAGACTAACAGGATGACTCACAGATGCTGTATGACTTGTTGTGTTGTCTTGTTCAGGTTAACTGCTATTGTTTTATTACTGGTAACTTGTGTGACCTCCACAACCAGGCTCTGAGTACTGCAGAAGTTAAGGACAGGACTGCTAGCCACAGGAGTGTGTAGTCCATTTGAGTAAGACAAGGGAATGTCAGCCTCCCCCTCAGCCCCTTCCCCACCCCTGGTTCAATGCCTGCAGCTCCACTGGGCACTGGTCGCTCACTCTCCCTCAGAGGTAGTGTTGGCCTTGCTCCAACCATTGCCAGAATATAAGTTGCTCAGATCCCCATTTATTGTTGAGAACTGACTGTGCAGTGTTCATCACATTCGTCAAAAAATCATTGCTGTCCAAACAGAAAAGCAACTTACTCTCAAGATATTTGACAGCTTCTTTATTCATGACATTTCACTGTAAAATACAAGCACAAATGCTATACCAAAGGAGATGATCTTGAGTTAATACTGAGAGTATAGCATGGGCAAGTAAGGATTTTCCACTCGTTCAAATTAAAATATTACTGTGCATTGTGGTAAATTCACTCTATGTGAAATAGAGAAGAAAAGGCTGCAACACACCTTCATGATTGCCTTCAGGAAAATGAGCGTTTCATTTATAGCCTACTCATCTACAAATGCATCTAAAGAGGAAATAAAATAATAATAAAAAAGCCAACACAAAACCTCAAGGTGGGTTTCTCACAATATTTATATAAATTAAAAAATTGCAGGAAAACCAGCTCATGACAAAGTCAGATTTTGCTATGACTCTTGTTAACTTCTCAGTACTTCTTTGTCTAGACTGGTGAAAGCTTCACTTTTATTTTCTGTGAACAGGAAGGATAATTAGTCACTTCTTAGCATGAAGCTGTCTCTTAAAAGACTACTAGTAGTTTATTTATTTACTTCTTAATTAAGAAAATAACTATTCTAATTCTGAGGGAAGTGAAAGAATTTGTGCCTCATCTGCCAAGGGTAGCTGACGGTCACTATAACTCAGATGTGGGAAGGGGATGGCTTTCCAGAGCATGCAGAAACCATGGAGAGGTCTTTTAGCACGTGTCCTAGAGTCGTGGAAGATGGAGGCAGGGAAACAGCTTCTATCTGGGTGTTTCTGAATCCCTAGAAGACAAACCCTCTTTGTTGTGTCACAGAAGAGAGACAAACAGAGTGGGCTGCAAAGCTGGGGCTGGGGTGGTGGTGGGATGGGGAGCAGAGCAAGGCAAGGAACCCAGACAGAGCCAACTCTCTCCTCTCTAGATGGCAACCACAAGGCTTCCGCCAGGTTTCCCTAGATCCTGTTTTCCACTCCAAGATTAAAAATCTCCCCTCAGGGGAGAATGAAAAGGAAATTGTGTGGTAGGCTTTTCTGTGTTTCCAGCTGACTATTTCCATAGAAGTGGGCAGTTGGGCCCAGTGTTTCTTAAGATATCTTTCCAGTAAGAGTAAAATCCCGGATCTGCTGAGGGCAACAGGCAATAGCGAACCTCCCGTTGGTCTCAAGAGGGCTGCAATTTCATCTTGGCTTCAAGATGCATTAGGAAGTGCATGGAGATCCTGGGAACAGAAAAAGGGAAAGTCCTAAATAAAGGTTTCTCATCCAAAAGCTGTTCATAGTGCTTAGTTAATTTCATCAGACTTCAAAATGTTTTTGGTGTTTATTAAGGTTACGTAGGTACTATGCAGAGCAGACATTATCTAAGCATCTGAGACTTCAGTAGTTCACTCCTCTGTTTTGTTAAAAAAAGAGAGATCAATATTAGTTTCTCAAAAATCATCAGTTACTGTATGCTTGTTTTGATCTTAGGGTCCTTAAAAGAAAAGGAAATGTAGTAATCTCTATTTGAAATGGGACTACTTTTCCTTCTATGTGTGCTGGCAATCTGAGTGTCTAACAGATATTTCTACTATCACTTGTTTTTCCAATTCTTTGTGAAAGTCCCATTTTATACTTTCTCAGAAGTATTTTTTTCCTTGCAGCAATTCTGGAAATAGCTTTTCTGTTGCAACCAGCGAGGGGATGTGTACCATCCGTGAAGGCAGCCTGGAAGGCACGCACCGGCAAACTGCAAAACAACATAACTTGTGGAATTAACAGTTCACGTTGACACCCATTAAAAATATTCAGAGATTGACTCAGCCTGCCCATGTTGCACAAATAACATGCTTGGCTCTGAATGATTCAAGATCTTATCTGGTCTCAGCACAAGTTCAGTGTGGAGGGCCTGATCCTGTTCTCATTAACCACCAAAGGAGTTTTGCTGTGCACTTCAAAGAGAATACAGGAGCCGCATTTGCAGTGAAGCACACATGGTTCCTGTATCTTTTCCCTTTTTTTCATTTTAAAAAATTATATTCCAAACTACAGCAAAACAAAAAGAAAGAAGGCTAGGAAACAGTCGAAATAAAGCTGCTGTCTGTTGAGCTGTACTGTTGCATGAGAACTCTGTTTGCTTGGAGCTCTTAAGTGGAAATTGAGAGTAGAAATCAGAAAGAGCTGAGACGGTTTTGGTTATATTTGTAGCTGACTACCCTCAATTCCCATCATTCCCCAGGTAGAAGCCTCGCATGGCCCGTGGTATTTCTTTGCACCTTGCACAACTATTTGCAAAGAACTGGAGCTGAGCCGATGTGTGCAGCCACTGATATTGTATCCATGCAAACACAGTGCCTATGGTGGTCAAGGCAAAGGCTCTGCTAAGCCCCCGGGAAGGTAACCATGTTCTTTCTTTGTTTTTCCTGTGCATAGTTTTTGAAAAGGAGGAGACACATATGGAGGATGGATGGGAAAGAGCAACCATTGGGGATTTTGTTTGGTTTTCTGTTTCTTCCAGGCTGTCAGGTTAAATAGTGTAATGAGTTCACCCACGTTTTTCCCTTTTAATTTTATTGCTTTATAGAAGAAAAGCCTACAAATACAATGGTTACTTTGGCAGAGGGAGCAGCAAGCATGTAACTCAGCCATTTAACAGACTTCAGGTGATCACCAGTGGATGCCCCTGGTCCAGAAGAACCATCCCTCCCGTGGAGGCCCAGAGACATTTCTTGCCTCTACTGTCTCATTTCCTCCATCTCCAAGCCATAACCACAGCATCTGCCTCAATTCAGATTCTGATTTCTGCTGCGTGTTTGTCCATGAAGAAGATAATCATCTGCTGCTACCTGCCACCCTATGGTAATGAGGTGGTGACAAACGAAGATAGTTACTCCTGTTGTCTCCCAAATTCAAGCCTTTAGACTTCACTTGAAAGGGTCTTGTATCCCCATTTCCTATTACTGAAGCTTGCTTACCTTTTTTCAAAGCTATGAAGTCATCCTTTGTGGGGGATGCTCTGTACTGTCCTGAGGGAGTAAACATGAATGAGCTCGCTTCTAGTCTTTGAGGGTTTTTTCCCCTCTGCCCTGTTGTTGCCCTGTTTGATTCTCAGTCAGCCTTGCCAACTCCTTACCATGCCAGAAGATGGTTTCCTTACCCCCATGCTGTAAACACCCTATTCCCTCCTGGCTGTGGGCAGGCATCCCTCCAAGCTGTTTTCTTCTCACTTTGGCAAGTCTTCCAACACAAGAATTGAGGCAAATGACATGTGGGGACATGAAATGCTGCTCTTTTCTCCACCAAAACTACCTCAGTTACTGGAAAATATGCTGTTCTTCAGTGGGTCCCGATGAGTGTCACCATCTCAGCCTGAATTGTTCTCTGCATTCATTGAAATGCAATGGGAGATTGAGTCTACAGTTCAAGGCTTTGTATGCCTAGTAGACTTAAATTTTGGGTCTCCATGTCTGCTCTAAGGCTGAGAGAGTAGGAATAGGACTCAAATTTTCTTTATCCCCCTTGTGCATCCTGATAGGTTATTCTGAGGATGTGTCCTCTCTTTTCACAAAGAAACTGCTAAGCATCTGAGGTTTCTCAAAATGCAAGATGGGAAGAAGACTGAAATTGTAAAATTTTGAAGAACAGGTAGGTGACCTGTTTTCCAAGCATTAGTAGGTGACTTCTTTTCAAAGCATCATGACAAGTATCCTGGTGGATGGCTCTTTAGGTTGGCCCTTGCAGTCTGTGCTGTCTTCTTTCTGGTGTCAGGACAACCCAGAAACCTTTCTGAAAACTTACCTGGATGATTCTGCTCCGAGTTCCTCTGTTGGACACCATCAGTGATGTTCGTGGGGAGGCCCAGAGAGCACCCTAACAACTGGTGTGAAGACTGGGAATAGCAGCAATCAGTCAGAAGCTGCACTACCCAGTAGGTGATTTGGAATGCTTCAGGGGTGAGCAGAGACATGAGCCTTGCCCTGCTGCTGCTCTGCCCCTCCAGAGTGAAAAGGATGATGTAAGGGAGAACAGCACACAAACGTGTGACAATAGCTAGTTAAGAAAGCCTTGATGTTCTTCTTTTGTGTTCTTCATGGAAAAGAATGATTTTAGATAATCACAAAAACATGACCTGTGGCAAAAACCAATCCCTACCACCTTTGAGTCTGTTTGGAAGATGACATGCTCTTGGCAAGTGCTTCAATAGCCCCTGAAATGCCCAATGCATGTTAGCGATCTAACCAATAACTTATAGGTTCCTATTTTTTTTTTAATTCATTGAAGAACATTGACAAAACTGCAAACACATGTTTCTGCTGCTAAAGCTTAGTCTTATCACAGTTTGAAAATGTGGAAAATCAATTACATGCTTTGAATTGCTCCCTTTATTGCTATAAAAGAATTTCTTCATTCTTTCAGGATAGTGTACACTTGGTAACATCTACTGCTAACAGGCTGTTAGGACTTTCTGCTAAATTAATTCACTACAAGTAAACTAAACAGAAGGCCAGTGGAATGCTAAACATCCACTTTCTCCTCTGTAGTGGCTGTGCTGCAGCTTGGGAACCCTCAACCTTGTTGCTACAACATCTGGACAACATTTGGGGCTGTCTCTCAAGTGCACGGGTGTGCACCTCCAGTGAATTTTAACTTTCAACATCTCTCTGCCTCTAATCTATATTTAATGTTTCATGACTAGTAGTCAAAGAAACTTCAGCTAAATATCAGGATGGAATGAAAATGATCCTTGGGAAAACATTAATTTTCAGCATTCGCCAGCAAAGTATCTGTGACAGAGACATTCCCTGGAGATTTGTAGCCCATTCTCTCACAGTAATAATAATTAAGACTCATGATTACTGTGCCCACGTAATCAAAGATCGCTTCACAAAATGTACTCCCTAAAGGGACGAATTCCCTGCTCCTAACTGGATGTCAGTCAGAGGGATCAGCACCCCCAGGGATCTGGAGTCTTTGCTTGCCCTTTTCATTACTGTGTTGTTAGCATTGTGTTACTTCATATTCTTCTCAATGCAAATGAGTAGGTAATCATGTGTAAATCGTGCCCTCCAGAAAGCACATGTAGTGAGGTTTTTTCCCCCAAATCTACCACAGGGATTTCTCACATGGAACATAATTACATCTCTGCCATATGGGCTCATTTATATTCTATTACAGGTTAAGCTAATACGACTCAGAAATATGCTAAAAATACCTCAAAGTATTTTGAGCACTGTCAAAACACTTGTCATTTCTTTCTTGCCTGTTTGATTGTGACTGACTTTATATTTATTTAGAGATCTGCAGTGCCAAGTAACTTCAGAAAAACAAAATCAGACCAGTCTGTGTTGCCCAGTCTCCAAAAAATACTTTAAATTCTCTCCCATGACATCCTTCTTCAGTGATGACAAATGGATGGGTGAACAATGAAACAGAAAAGCCTCTAAGACATATTTACCTGCAGCAACACCTCAGTGGGTTTTAGGTTTCCCAGGAGGAAAGGAACGTGCACTTCAGTTGCGTAGCTTTGTCATCGTTAGGCTGGATCAGGTCTGCGTTTGATATAATGACTTTGCCCTAGCAAAGCTATACTTGCTCTTTAGGCAAAATAAAAGTACAAACCTCCCTACCCACAGAGGCAAGGCTACTGTGGGACTAACAGTTGCCTAAAAAAATTATGATAAGATAAGAACAGGTCACCTTTAAAACTAAAAGTTGTATGATACTGTTTTCAGAATTGAGGTACTAGATAATAGTATGTTATTTTCCTGTTTCAGTGGAAATACTTCATTTCAGTGTAAGATTTTATTTGATAAGGTTTTTTAATCATTATTATTTCACTGATTTGTAAAACTACTACCACTAACCTCTCGATAAATTCTTAGTCCACCACAGTCAATCTTCATTTTATTCTTTTTATTCATACATCCAATATTTCACCCTTTGAAATTTGACCAGGTTTCTTTTATTCTACTAGCTAAAAAGGAAACATATAGAAAGTAATACACAGGTAGGAGGATTAGGCCAGAGGATGGGAGAGGACCACATGGGACTTGCACATGATACTTCAGATAGTACTGTGCAAAAGCAGTGACTGACTTTGGTTCCAAGGAGATGCTTGCAAGAAATTGGACCAGAGTTTTGAAAATGGCAGCTGTGTATTTCCTATAAGCAGGAGATAAAATTCAGACCTGATTTATAAAATATTTTGAGGTTTTCAGTGATGGAAAATTCTGTGTAGCTGTAAAATCCAATATCTAACTATGAGATAAATTCTGGTACCTTTCTAGAATTGATTAATATATTTCAGAGTGTTGCTAGGAAGTGTTTGCTTTTTTTGCTTTCTGTTTTTATTATATGATAGCATAATCTTTTAGATTATTCAGCATTTGAACACTAAGCACAACCTTTCCTGAATGCTTTTTGCATGTTTTCAGAGAACAATAATTATTGCTAACACCTCGTGCTCAGAATACTGTGCAACAAAGTGTGTAAGCAACTAACATTAAGTGTATGAAAAGCGCACTTGAAGTCAGACACCAAAGTATTTTTTTAGATCAAAGCCTAGGAGTTACAATGTCTGTAATTGTGCAATTGCATCAGATTCAGGAGAGTTTCCTCGGAGTCTACCTTGTTCTTAAAAGACACCTTTCAAAATCAGCTGAAACAACAGGGTTTTGGTCAGAGCTATGCACTGGTCATTGCTGAATAAGGAGAGTGGTCTGTTTGACTGTGTGTTCAGTACAGAAGGGAAAAAAATTCAGGTCAGCTATGCGTTATTACCCAAGAAAAGTATTTTTCCAGCCTTTGTAATTCCTGAGGCAGTGTAAAGGACACTACAGTGATTTCATACATTAGGGAGAAATAAAAAAAGAGTGGTCTCCTGGGTTGTGGAACAAAGGGAAACAAATTTCAAATCTCAGAGCTAACTCCATTAACTAATGTCTTAATTCAGCTGTCATAGATGTTTGATTAAAGAACCTGCTATACAATTTCTTTTGCAGCTTCTATAGCCTCGGTTGTGTAAAAGCGTCCCATGCCCTTGGAAAAACAACCTTTCCTTACGTGCACAAAAGGGAGTCTTTTACATGACATCTTCACAGCTTGCTTCCTTTTTCTTCAGGCAAGGTTTTTCCTTTTCATTCCACAGTTTCATTTATTATAAAAGTACGGTCACTGTGGATACTGCACTGCTGTATTCATGTCCTGGTTTTATGCTCATCCCCGGGCATCCGCTGTAGACCACTGCTGCAGTTGGGTCAGAGTGCTGGCACAAGCTGATGGGCATCCTGACGTCCCCATGTGACACCAGGCCATGGGCAGAGGCAGCAGAGAGGGGCACCAAGTCAGGTAATGGTATTCTCAAATATTCCAGAGAACAACCTTTCCAAGGCAGGGGATGACTATTAATGTGCCCTCCTAGAGTTCTCCTTTATTAATTGCATGCTGAAAGCAGCAATTTGGTGATATTTGCATTGAATATTTGTCAGCCATGTGTGAGTATGTCAATATTTTCCTCTAGATGGTGGGCAGCCATGAATTTTCAGCAGAATTATCTACCTGGTGCTGCACGTATATGCTCAGTTCTGAGCTGTGGGTGAGTTGTTTATTTATGGTCAGTGCCTGGATGGAAAGTTCTGGTCTGCACTGGAAATGGGTGCATTTCATCATGCATATGATTTGCAGGAATAGGTAGATCAAGAGCCTTTGTATGAAAATTTGATTCTTAATATCCACACTGATGTTTTAAATCAATCATTCCTGGATGTATAAATCATCTCGCAATTAAGTTTGGATCCTCTTTGTCATTTGATGGATAAATGTGAAATTATTTTGCTGTCTGACATGATCCACTGCCTGCTAATATCCAGCTCTCTGAAACCCTTTGTAAATCATTGTAGTTTGCATCATTTATTTGGCTAACATACAGTGTTTGCTTTCCAAATCTGTGTAGATGATAATCTGTTTTAATACCTGTACATATCAATTAAATTTATTCTGTACATTGTTCACTGTATGCCAAATTGGGTGGAGAGTAGAAACACTTAGCAGGGGAATCAGGCTTTACATAAACATGCATTAAATGAGCCTTGCAATCTGATTGGGGGAGGAGGAAATTTAGCATTTAATTTCCTCATCTACAAACAGATTAAAAAAATGGCTTCCAGAAACAAAATTATAGGGCAGAATTGTGGAGCCCTCACTCATGTTGTTAAGCAGATTCTCATTGGGTTTATCCCGCTGAAGCTTAATAATATCACCTCCAGGGTGGCTGAAAGGATGCAGAGTTTCTTGCAAAGCACTTTGATGCTTTGTCTACTGCAGAATGTAGGCAGCATATCTTCAGACCTCCTCGTGAGGCCAGACTTCTGACTCCTCTTTGCTGTTTCTGATTGCCATGGCTGCAATGTAGTTATGGAGCCTGTAAGTGCCCAAACTGCCTGGTGGTAAAACTCCAGGATGTGCTGATGTACCTGGTCAATTCTGCAAGAGGAGTTGGATTCAGTCTTCAAGCCTGTATATCCCAGCTTTCACGCCTTTATTTTAGACTGCATGAATTTAATCATTTGCAAAATTAAGCCTTCTTTAAGCAAAAATTATCAACCTCCATTTTCCCCCTCACACCTATTCTCCTGTAGATAACATGGAGACGTACTGGGAAACTTTAAAGTTGACTGTGGTCAAAATGCTTTTTATTCCTGACTAAAATCCATAATTAAGCAGTGACACAGATGCATTCAAGAATAAATTGCTAAACACACTTCAAAAAATGGGGATAGTAGGATGGAAATCTGTGCTAAAAAACTGTTCTAAGTCAAAGTATCTATCAAGTAAATGCTGCTAAATTTTGCAGCGTAAAACACTATAGAAAATGTAATTGTCAGAGGGAAGATGGATTGATTCATCCTAGTATTACAACAGTATTCCAGATTGCAGGTACCTGAGGACAGTTTAATTTTAGAGTGGGCAGTATATCCTTTGTTCGTTTGGTCTTTCACTCATGAAAAATATAGAATTTCCCTTCTCACATTGTATGTAGAATTTCTGTTAAAATACTCCATGCTATAAAATTAATTGCGGAGGACAGAATACCGAGCAAAAATGAGTAAGTATTTTAAGATTGTTTTTCTCAAAAAGGAGCATTATGTGCCCATAACCTTCTAGTTCTTTTGGAGGAGAATTTTCTGGATAATGCAGAAAGAGTAATCCTGCTGCTGCTGGCCAGAGTTACCAGTTCCTGCCATGACCTTGCTTTGGGTCTGTGACCTGCAAAAAAAGCAATGATGATGTAAAAGCAAACCCTGGAGGAAAGATACTGAGTGGCATAGTATTATTGCAATGAAGTTATTTAACATACATGGTAAAAAGTAACGACTATTGTCATAAGGAAGAGGACTGCAGATCATTCTGGTGGCAAGTGGGCAAGACCATTCCTCGTCCCTCAGGATGGTGCTGGCACATCAGAGCTCTGCTCTGAGAGGAGCAGCAGAAGTGCCTGCCTGCCTGCTGTCCCACCTGGCCTCGCAAGTTATGAGTAACTGTGTTTTTGTTTTCCAGTGTGAAATTTATACTCATTTAACTCTTGAAATTCAGAGGCATGACCACTTAGGGTCCGACTGTGCAGATCCTCTAGTGACTCTTTCACACATATCAGAGACATCCTTCTGACATGAGTAGGTTGCCAGTAGATGCATGTTTTATTTAGACTGTGAGGTGCAAGCCCTTTCTTTTTCAAGTATATTGCTTTCTTGCTTTCTGAGCTCCAGCTCGGTTGTTAAAAGTGTACTTTTTGACAAGGGTTGTCATTGAATGGGATTTCTTTCACTTTCCCAAAAAGAGTAAAAACTCATCCTGCTATTCTTCATCCTTGCATGTGTGACAAAGATGGCTTTTGCAGAGGCAAACCCAAGTTTACTTGCTTTTGGGAAGCTTGGTTACCTTTCTTCTTCTTTATGGTTGGGAATATTTTACTTGCCACCAGCAGCCTGCATACTGCTGGCTTAAATTCAGCACTGTAAAAATCTCATTAAAAATGGAAATACCCATCTTTATTCAGTATTCCCAGTAAATTTCTGCTAAGTCTTTTGCAGCTGAAAATATATTATTAATTTTATAAACATGGTGGAAAACAAATCATATTTTGGAGATAGAAAATCATCTTATGTTAAAAATTAAAAAGTCTGAAGGACTGACTGGCTGCTCCTCTGAAACTATAATCACGAGTGCTGTTAGTCACTTGAGTTTTTACATTTGATTCCCCTTCCATAAGCATTTTGGATATTTTTAGTCTTGCTATAAGTACACTCCAGAGTTTTTTAATTAAAGGTAAATGTACTAGAATTCTTTCAATTGATTGAGAATTTTTATTATAGGCATGGTCTGATTTTCCACTAGCTTGTATCTTGAATGACTGTTTGCACCAATGAAAAGAAGTTGTTAAATGGTGAGCATTTTAACTGCACCCTTGTTTAGCAGTAGTGCTCATAATATGGAAGGTAACACAGTATTCAAGTTATTCATACATTTACCAAGAATTTTCGAATATTAAATGTGATTGGAATTTAAATGAGCAAAGGATTCCAGAAACAAAGTCATATCTTCACTTCCTGGTAAGGAACAGCAGTTCTGATGTTGTAGCTCATGGCTCAGAAGGCAACGTCATATTGATCAGGAAGCCCTCAAATGGCAATGACTTCCATCACTGCTTGTGTGAGCTGGATTCGACATGGAAAAGGACACACTTTTCCTTTTATTTTGTATGTCATTTGCTAATAGATATTTTTTTTATTCTATTCAAGCTCTTGTATGCTACCCACCGCTGTAGCTGAATGCTTTCATTTGAATCTTTCTGAGGGGACATGAGGTAGCAAGGCTCACATGCTATTTCCAGTTTGCCTTTCTCACAGAGTCACAGAGTATTCTGAGTTGGAAGGGACCCACAAAGATCATCATATCCAACTCTTAAGTGAATGGCCCACTATGGGGACCGAACCCATGACCCTGGCATTATTAGCACCATGCTCTAACCAACTGAGCTAATCTCAGTTTTTCTCTTCCTGTACATGGACATTTCTGGAAGGGTAAATACTCTACTCTTTATTTTTTCATTTTTTCTTTTTATGAATGGAAGTAGATTAAGGACCTTGTCAAACACACAGAGCTGTTCAAATTATGTCCACAGCATTGACTCTGCTTCCTGAAAAGCTCTCTGTCTTGCACAAAAGACATTATTCCTTGTTACTGAGAGATCCTTCATGCCAAAGTAATTCAGTAGTCAAGTACATTCCTTGTCTCCACAAATTTTTTAGGCCATGCAATGGGAGCATAAATCTGAAGAGAAATCTCTATAAACAGTCAGCGTAGTGAGTAGACAGGCAATGTTTTCAAAAAGATGTTCATGCTGCTGATGGGAAAGAAGGGGGCTGCAAGTTACAGTTTGCATAGGCTGTCATTTTCTTGATGGATGCACTACTATAATTTTTTGTATGTGTAATTTCTGCATAGTCACAGGTATTTTTTACACATCCTTTCTATTTCTCATGCATGAGTCAAAATTACTGCCCAGCTGTATACTTTCATCTGCACTGAATGGAACAGGTTGAACTCAGGTTGGAATTTAGCCCTGTGAGCTTTGTCCTGTCTTGGTCAATATGAGGTTAACGGATGAAAGTGTGCACTTTGGCTATTATTGCATATTTAGGGGGAAAAAGTATGAATTTTAACTGTGGAATAAATTCACAGAGGAATGGGAATAACCCTTAGGATCTTCTACTGCAAGTGATATTTGAGGGGTTTAATGCTAGTTAAAGGTCTGTGGTATGGTGACCCCATTTGCATGTAATTATGCAAAGAGCAGAGATTTCCAGAAAGAGATTGGGCATGTATGTGTATAGTGCATATGATATGCAGGAAGAAATATTATGAGGACCCCAAGGCAAAAGCTGGGACTGTGACCCCACTGATTTATGGCTCTCAAAACAAGAGCTGGACAAGAAAAGCTGCACTGTGAGTCATCCTGACTGCACTTCAGGGCATGATTTGCTGAACTGACTACTAATGACATGTTTTAATTTTGAGGATTTTTTGAGGTTAGGTACTGATGGAGATAATACAAATAGTGGCAGAAGAAAATTGGGGGTGTGTGGTATACTGCAACATGGGTATCCATGTATCACGTGGTCCTGTCTTCCTGGTGGGGGAAACAACCCCAGTACCATCAGGCAGCTGGGATGGTTTAACTGGTTGGCAGTAGGTGCCCAGTGTTGTCATATTATCAGCAACTCCCACAAGACTGAATTTTCCTATTTGACAGAATACATTGCTTTTATCATCCAGACCAGGTTGCTTTC